AAAAGCTTTAAATATTATAATAAATAGTTCAACTGAAAAATCAAAAACCATATGTGAACCACGACGGAGACTGTCTGATCTACGGTGTTAACCTCCATGACCATACTGGCAACATCGGTTGCCTCGTTGCTCGCCTGTTGCTTTACGTGCGCAGACTGACCTAATGCTAGGATAAGTTCGGTGTGTGTGCTTGTGTCCCCGTCACCTGTGCAGGTGAACACCAGTGTCTCTGTTGCCTTTGTCCCTATACCTGTGGCTGCCCCATGAGCCGGTTGTTTTTGAACACGCGTGTCACCGGTGAGGTGAGTTTGTTCTGTGGTGAGGTGGTGTAGGTTGGGGCCTTGGGGGTCTGTGAACGGATGTCGACTGGTGATGAGACGGAAAAAATGTTCGTAGTTGGTTGTTCAGTGTGTTGAATTACCGAACTACGCGCTTTTCGTTTACGTGTTTTTTTGCTGTGTGTACTACCGTAGTGGGTGGTGATGAGTGGGGGGGGGGGGCGTTGAGTCTCCTCCGCTGTTTCCCGACGTTGTCGGTTTGTTTGGACACTTGATGTTCCAATGGAGTTCCCCACAATATTTGCACGGCCCCGGTGGTTTTTTATCTGTAGTTTTGTTAAAAAAATTTTTTGACAGGGGGGGCTGTTTGTGGGGTATCCGCCCATTTTTTGTTATGTTTAGAGGACCATTGTTGTGAGGGCGGGTTGGTGTTGTCCGTTACTCGGTAAAAGACACCTGTAATGCGTCGTAGCTCGCTAAGGTAATACCTACCAATTCCGATTCGGATAGGCCGGTATTTACGCGGTGCGCTTGCTGGTTTTTAACTAGCATAAATTCCGTAAGCGATTGTCTGGGCGTTTGTCGTGTTGGCGAGCAGTTGGGATTGGATTTCGGATTTGTTGTAATTTTTTCAAAACTCAACCATAAATTCTTCCCAGGTTAGGTCGAGTACTTTTATGGATGTGTACCATTCACTCTCCGTTCCTTTTAACTACGGCACGACCGTCCTGCACCAACCCGAGGGGTGTATACGAGCTTGCACTAAAATCGCCTCGGTATTGTCTATAAACCATACGGGGTTATCGGTCCTTGTTCCGGTGAACTCGGGTAGCGAAGGTCTTGCTGTACGCAAGTCCTCGTACGGTATTAGTACCTAACGTTCATGTGTGCCTGTTTCGTACGGCGCGTGTGGTGTGACCCGTATAGTCGTTATGGGTTCAAAAACGGTATGTTGTTCCCGGCGGCAATGTGGCTCTGTTGAGCACCGCCGTCATTATACTCATAAGACCTGCCTGACTGGTAATTCTCGTGTGTACGAGTTGTTATCTGTTCAGCTGACGCTTGGTTGTGGAACCACGGGACTGGGTTGTTGGATGGCTGCTGTGCTGCTGCTTGACGTGTTTCAGTAAAAAAACGCGTCATGCTTGCCTCGAACGATTTTGAGTCGTTCGTTTGTGGCAACGTTTATGTCAACATTTTTAACTGTTCCACTACGGTTTTAAATATGTCGGTACCTACCTAACCGAGTATGCGGACTGGCCCTGTTGCATGGTCGACTGAAAGCCGCAGAGTTCCGACAGGTTGTCCATAGGTTTTTGACTTGCTGTAGGGCTTGTCAAAATACCCCCAGACGGCTGCCCGAAAATCTGACTGGTGTTCGTGTTTTCCAGCTTTGGCGTAGTGGGTGATTGCTGTTCAGTACCGCCCTGTAATCCTGTGATTAGCGGCTGCACTGTTTCGAACCTCACGTTCTCGGGGACTAGTCCGCTTTCCCTAAGGTGCTCCTCTAGCCTGACGTACACGTCCGACTTTGACCCAGATATGCTGAGTCCGCGGTCCGTGCACTCGCTAAGTAGCTTCGCCGGCGACAACTGTTGTAACGTTTTTCCCGTCATTGTGTAAAATTATTTACCAATGTGCTCGTTACACTGTTGTATGGTCTGTGGCTTGTGCTTGTTGCGCGGCGTGTAGGGTGTAGATGATTTTTTTTTTGTTTTTCTGTTTTTTTTTACGTAAATTTCGCGCGAAGGCTACGATAATTTATATTTCAATATTTATGATTACGTAAACAGATCAGTTGTCGACGGCGCTGCCGTTGGGTACCAAAAATAGCAGTACTGGGTCAACGACCTCGGCGGTGGCAGCGGCTGAACCGGTTTTTGCCCTGCACGCTCTGTTGTTATCGGCGGTAGTGCCGCGGGACGAAAGGTAAGCTTTGGGTGGTGTGGCGGTACTTTATGTAACCACCTCCCACAGCCATCTCTCGTTTATTCTCGGTTCGCGCGGATTTCCCCTGTACGTACTAAAATACTTGTTACGTAATTCTAACTTGGGAATCCTAGCTAACGTGAAGGCACACTCCTATTTAAATATCTTAATACTAACGTTATAAAATAAGCGTAGACCGGTCGCTGCGGTACCTGTACTTTGTACTGGTTGCCGCTGCGTACCGTGTCAGTCAAATAAAAACAATTTGTTTTGGCCGGTCGTACACAAAAAGAGCAAAACTGTGTAAGTCATCATCATAGTCGTTAGGTCGTAAAATTGTAGTTCAGTATTTCAGTGACCAACATGTCTTCCGACGAAGATGAAAGTTGTTGTCCCTATTTTGTGGTCTTTGTTGTTAGATATCGAAAAGAATGAAAAACAAAAAAGAATGTGGGTTCATCCTTTAAATGAAAAACGTACAACAAATAATTTAATTAAATGTTTTTTACGTGAATTACGTAATGATGATTTAAAATTTAAAAATTTTACGAGAATAAGTCCTGAAACATTTGATTAAATTTTAAATATAATTTCTGAAGAAATTCAAAAAGCTGATACTAACTTCAGAAAGAATATCAAACCGGATGAACAATTATTAGTCACTTTGTGGTAAGTAAAATGTAACTTAATTAGGTAGTATCAAATTCAAGCTTTCGAGGAAAAATAAATTTTTTTGTAGATTAGTATTATAGGTACCTATCACACCTTTATTTTAATGTAATAATCTAAATTATAATTTTATATAATTACTTATGAAATACATTAAACTTATTTATTTTTAAATTATTTTATACATCACTTAAAAATTATTTATATGAGTTTGAACTTTCTGAAAAAGACAAAATTCTGGACTTTCAGAAAAGAGAAACTGTGTAGTTTGAGGTGTGTTTTGATTTAATGGTTGAGGCTGAATAGTATACTGTTGGTTTGGCTGTACATTGTTTGAATATAATGGCGTAACGTTACTTGTATATATCGATGTTGCTGACGATGAAGTTTCTTGATCATCAAGTAGTTGATCCAATGTACTTAAAACAGCGTTTTTCAATCTAAGCTGGTTTTTTTTATTGAGCTATTTAAAATCTGCTAGTAAACTTTTTAAAAATAATAGTTCTGGTAGATCTTCAATCGGATTGACTTTTGAAGTAGTTTTTGACTGGTTCGTGGTTCTGCAATCATCTCACTTGCCAGCAGTTTTTAAATTTTTTTTTTTTTTTGTTTCTTAAGCTCGTGTGAACTTGAAATTTGTTCACTATCTATTTCTTCATAAACGTTTACATCTGGGTTCAACTGAAGTGTCATATCACATCAGGTTCTTCCTCAAAAGTTGGAACTTCAGATTCTTCAACATTTTTATAGGTTGTTTCATCCAAATCATCCGCAGTAAAGTTACTTCTCATAGTTTTGTGTTGCAACATATAATCTTTTGGTATAAATCTAGTTTAGCGCACACTCGAATTTTTCAATTTTTTTTTCGGAAACCTATGTGTTTTAACGAGTTTAGAACGATGGTATGAAAATCAATTGGCGGAAACCATTATTTTGGAAGTTATAGCCTACCAAAGCTTGCAATTTTACGTTTATACGCATGCGTGCAATGCTCTATTTTCCACGTTTATAAAGAAATTTTCAATTATTTTTTTTTTCCAAACCTGGGTAAATCGACGTTTTAAAAACGATGGTGCAAAAAAAGTTGGCGGAAATCAATAGTTTTCGAGTTATAGAATTTGAAATTCAAATTTTTTCTACAATTCATTTAAATAGGTAGTTTTTACCAACGTTGTGCGAATGAAGTGTGGCGCAGTGGTCTGGCCGTAGATCGGAAGTTCGAGATTAATGAACCTGTTCATTTCAGGGCTTTTCCATTGTCCCTGTTACCTACTTAAGGTGGTTTTGCATAACAATTCGGGGGGGAAATTTCGATTTGCGGAGCGGAGCGACGGTGCCGAGGAGCGTAGCGACGAGTGCCGATACACCCCAAATACCTGTTCATTTCAGGGATTTTCGATTGTCCCTGGTACCTGAGGTGGTTTTGCATAACAAGTATAAAGGGATATTTTCGTTTTTAAATGTCCGAGAGAGTGCAGTGGTCTATTTTCGTTTAAGTTTAGGTATTTCACAGTTAATCGATGTTCGTTATCGAACGTACAAAGGTCCGTGTGCGGAAGTTAAATTTATATCATTAGATATAATAACCTAACCGTAGATAAAATGTAATACCTTATATTTAATTTTGGGTCGTAACTGTTTCTAACGCAGTATTCGTAACACATTAGTTCTTTCCTTTTTATACATTTTAAGTTTGATTTTATTTTATAATGACGTGGTCGGTTATTAAATTATTCAAATTATTTGAGTGAAGATGGCCCGTTGTCAATACCAGTTATTGAACAACTTCAATTGTGGGGTCTTATAGCAAAAAATAAAAGTCTAAAATGCAAAAACGGTCATTTTGGTACATTGTGTCCGCACGGAGATTACGCCGATGGATTTGTTTGGCGGTGCAGACAGTGGTCCACAACGAATCGTAAAAAAAGTAGATGTGATTTTAAGCAATCCATAAGGAACGGAACGTTCTTTAACAAATCGCACTTGTCGATTTATCAAATAGTTATGTTCTCATATCTGTGGACAGAGAATGTGTCTCTTTCTTTTATGCGAAAACAAATTGGAATTGCTCAACAATCAGCTGTTGATTGGGCGTCTTTCCATCGGGAAGTTGTCTTCGATGGAATGATATTACGGCATGACAAAATTGGTAATTTTTGTTTTAATTTTATTAAAAGCGAAAATAATTTTTTTAATTATTTACTATATTTATTACGAAGGTGGTGTTGGAAAAGTTGTCGAAATCGACGAATCAAAATTTGGTAGACGGAAATATTATAGGGGCCATCGAGTAGAGGGGCAATGGGTTTTTGGTGGAGTAGAGCGGATAACAGGAAAATGTTTTTTAGTACCCGTTGAATGTCGGGACAAGGAGACATTACTGACATTAGTTAAAGATTGGATTTTGCCCGGTACATTAATCATTAGTGATTGTTGGAAAGTATGTGGTCTTGTTTTATTCATATTCTTTTATTCTTTAATATTAATCATGAATATTCAATTTTAGAGTTACGACTGTTTAAAAGATGAGGGTTATGAACATTTAACGGTTAACCATTCAATCCAATTTAAAAACCCTGACACCGGTGCCCACACGAATAATGTTGAGGGGATGTGGCGTCATGCTAAGGCATCTTTAAGCCAGTACTCCCGGAAAAAAAACATTTGTACGCCGGATATTTGGCCAAAAACATGTTTTTGAAATATTGCCGAAAATCAAATTTGAACTTGCTAAATGAGTTTTTCCGGTTGGTTTCATTGTTATACAACCCTACCACACCGGAAATAGTTGTTAGTGAAGAAGTACCGACAGAGTCGTCGGAATCTGAGGAAGAAGTAGAGTCTGAACCGGAGTTAGGATATTTCTAAAATATAAATATAAATTATCCATAATAAACGTATTAAAAGTATATTGAATTAACTTTTTTTTGCACCATCGTTATTAAAATGTGATACACCCAGGTTTTGAAAAAAAAAAATAATTGTAAAATTATTATAAACGCGGAAAATAGAGCGTTGCGCGCATGCGTATAAACGTAAAATTGCAAACTTTGGAAGGCTATAACTTCCAAAATAATGGTTTCCGCCAACTTTTTTTTTGCACCATCGTTCTAAACTCGTTAAAACACATAGGTTTCCGAAAGAAAAAAAAAAATTGGAAAATTCGCGTGGGTGCTAAACTAGATTTGTTGAATCATTACACAAAAACTTGATTAAATTAATACCACAATATATGCAAATAACTAATAAAAAATGTAACATTTAGTTGAATCATTACACAATAGTTATAGCTTTTCATAACTGGTTCTTAAAGTGAATGATTTTAGTGAGAGATGATCGTATTCTTTGTTGCGGTTGACTTATAATAAGGTTATGATGCTGTACTCTTATTTTAAAATAACATTGTAATGACATTTTTATTAGTTGTAATAGGTGATTATCTAATGGTGATTGATCTAAAATATGGTCAGAAATGTCAATAAAAATATTTGTAATTTTGAAGTTGCTTTTATTGTTAAGTATTCAATAATATCATACTTGATTAAAGGTAAAGTTTGTTGGAAAGTCCGAAATGTAATTTCTGCTGTTTTACACTGGTATGTCATGTCTCTTGTTGGTTTTGTAAAGCCTCCTCTGTTTTTAATAACCAATAATGATAGTTGTTTTGGAATCATTTTGTCATCAGACAATAATTTAAGACACATGTTACAACTTTACAAGTTATTTGTTTGTAAAGCTTTCTTACAACAAAACCTGCAATATATTGAATAACATTATCAACATACATTAATTCATTGTTAAAATGAATGTCTTCTAAAGTATCTGTTTCCTCGTAATCTTCTGCACATAACAAGTCTAAGTTTCCAATTTGGTTTTCAATTTTTTAATTTGAACTTACAGTCAAAATTGGTGTGCAGTCCAATACTTGGCAATTAGCTTCTTTTGAAACTCTTAATTCTGTGTGAATTATTAGACGTTTATATGCTGCGGGATTGTTATTGAATCCCCCCCCCCATAGAACGTATATTTGAAAAAAATATCTCTAAATGATCTTGGCTAATCTTGTATGTGAGAAAAAAATCCAAAGTACCAGTTTTTATAACATTACAAAAAAATGTCTTTGACACTTTGTAAGCATACAACTAGACCTAAAAATCCCGTTTTCCTGGCAGATTTTATTAATGGCACATATGTATTCTTTATTTTAACTTGAAGACTTTTAATGTATTCTATTGATTCTTTAATCAGCAACACTGGAACTAAAAGTTTGACATGCTAATTTGACTTTCATCTTTTCTTTTTGATAATTTATATGTCTTGATCTAATTTGTGTTCCACAATTAAGGCCTTTTTTTATCTTGGATGGAAACAAGTTCTTTAAAATAATTCCACTTTATTAACTGACCACTTGTATCATATAATACATCCCAGTCACCTAAAGTGTTTCTGCAAAGTTTCAATATATGTGCAGGATCTATAAAAATATGCACTTTCTGTTTTTTTTCTGGGTGAGCAAAATATGATTTAATACAAGGCATGGTAAGGTTTGCCCCTAAGCAAGCTGACATAGAAATATTTGTGGCTGCTCGATCAAATGTGAAAGATTTTACTCATACATCATTATCATGAACAAAAGATAATACAGTGTTTACTAAATTAGCTTTTCCTTGAGTATTCAAACCATTTGTTATAAAATAAGCTATTGGTATTTTCCAGTCTGAATTGATTGCCACCAACAAAAAGACTAAGGCTTCCCTAGCTTTTGGCAATCCATCCAGTTCATCTGTTTTTATACCATATATCCTTGTAATCGTTTACCATTATATTGGATATTTTCTTTAGTATACATTTCATCCATAATAAGACCACATACAAGTTGTTTTCTTTTTGCCAACATTTCTTCAGATTTGTTTTTAATGCATTTAATGCTTCTGATGTAAAACTAGGAGAGCCATCTATTGTGGAATACCATTTCCGTAACGTACTAGGATGTGGTAGAACTTTATTAAATGATAGAAGTACACAAAAACCGAAGGTGAATATAAGTTTAAAGTTAGAGCAAATGTTCGAAGTTCAGGGGATATTTTTTTATATGATTTTATTTTTAATTGTTTTCATTAGGATCTTATTTTCAATATCAGGTAATGTTTTCTGAAATCAATAATTATAATATAATTATTTATTAACATATAATATAGCAGTAACATAGACTAACGAGTAACACATTTATATATATATATAGCTTATAAATCTAATCTAACATTGAAAACGATCACCCAATCTCACAAATATCTAACATAGCTAAATCCTTCGAAAAATAAGTAAAAATTACCTTGATTATAATAATCTATTATTATCTTGTAATCAATTTGATTTTTGCACTGGTAAAATACAGAACAACCAATTGCAACTGTATCAGTCTATATTATACTAACTATGCACACAAAACTAACAAGCAGAAACATATTAATATTCATTCCTAGTTTAGTTAGTAGTCACATAACAATTTACCAAATTATTGCTTTGTTATTTAACATACTTGGCTTAAAAAGTATAAAGAATTGTGAGCTCCCAACCACTAACATGTTAAGTGGGGTCCATTATCTTTTTGAAGGATAACCCAAAATATATATAATACAAATATTAATATGTACTAAAAATTATTTAAACATTTATTTACATGCACCTTTAAATCATTTCATATTTTGGTATTTTCTAATAACCAACTTATAATCAAGTATTCGTATAATAAAGTATATATAAAAAAACATATTCAATATTAAACTAAACATTGACTTACATTTTATAAAATTAAAAAGAACAATGCCACAAATAGGATTGTACAGTTTAAAATTGCTAAAGAACAAGTGGCAAATAATGGTGGATTAAAACATATAACAAGTACTTACTACAAATCTACACAGAACACATGTATATTTTTCAATCCAATAATAAAAATCTGGATATGAGAAAATAATTTTGAGAGATGAGGTTCTTTTCTTCTCTTAAATGTGTCATTAATTTTTTCACTGTACGTATTTTTTTGATTAAACGGCCTTTTTTTGAAATTTTGAAATTTGCTTCCTCTTTTTGAAAAACATTTTTTTGGTTGCATCCAAAAAATTATTCTGTCGCTTTGGATTATTCAAGTCTTCATTACTAAAATCTCCTATGAAACATTTTCTTCTTCTGAAAAATTAATAAAAGAAACATATTCTCTTTCAAAGACACTTTATATTTTAAGTGATATTATTTTATAAATATAACAAATTTCAACTTATTTATAATTCAAGCATACCTTGTTTAGCAAATTCTGGAGTTATCAAAGAATTATTCATATTTGATCTTGATTTTTCAGGGGTTTGAGGTGATATAGTATTAAATGCATGATTTCCATCTGAAATCACAAAAACTGCTTAGGTACTAGGTATTTATTAAATACATATTAAAATAAAATGTTAAATCTATAAAATAACATACTGGTGATTCAATTAACTTGTAATATTTTATTTTCTCAATATTCCAAATACATTTTTGTGCAATTAATATTTTTTCTATTTAATTGTAAGTACCTAATAATTTGCATAGCATTATATTTTTAAAAATTATTATTTGTTTCATGCTTAAAAAACTAAATAAAATATGAAATAAAATATATTCATATATCATATACCTAGTCAGAAACAAATTGAATTTGATCATTAAAAGAAGTATCTGGTTTATTGTAAATTGTAATTTATTGGACATATGCATTTTTACTTCACTATTATGTTCTGGAAGGTCTGTTATAGATAGAAGGTAGGTCTTTCTCATCATCAAAACATTCTATTGAACCTATAAATATGTTTAACAACAATAAATTATATTTATGTACCTATCAAGTATTTAAGATACGTAACAGAGTCTTCATTGAAATCATTAAGAATACTTGGACTTGAAAAAACAACAAACTCTTCCACATTGTAAATATATACTTTTTTAGGATCTGTTATTAATTTTGTTTATTAGTTTTAATTTACTTTGATTATAAATAGGACTTTTAAGTAGAGGCATTTTGAATTTTTAGATTCTGAGTGGAATTAACGAGTTAAAAATTAAAATTAAGTTAAAACGTTAAGTTAATATTAACTAAGTTAAGTAACTCGTTACTTTTTTTTGGAAACTTAATTTTAACTTAATAAGTTAAATTTTTAACATATTTAACGTGTTAACTTAAAGTTAATTTTATACAGATTTCTTAAAATTAAGTTACATTTTAAATTTGACCCATTAACTTATAATTTTGTTGGCTTGAGAATATTATTAGATATCATATAAAATAAATGGGAAAATGACGTAAATAATAATTATTACCCATTGAGTTTGATGTATACACAATTGACATAGTATTACCTAATATAGGTATTTTCAATTTTGTAGATAGCCTGTATCCAGGGTAATACTAGTAATGCCCACCCGCATGTAATAATAATTAATAGTTATACATTTGTGATTATTGTCTATTGATGTATATAAAATATACATACAGTATAATATACTATATTATATATATTATACATATTATTATGAATTATTATTATACATAAACGAGCCATAGTGGATATAAATATATAGGTACCTAATCATTTATTATGTTTATCATTGTCGTAATATTATATTTAAATAATATTAATATAAATTTATATTTATATGTAGGTATAT